AGCAGACGTGTCTCATTTAAAAGCAACTTTTGGAAATGCCCCAAATTAAGGGCACTACTTTGTGACTTGCCCCCTCACTGTTCGGTTTGTGTCACTCTAAAGGTCCGGAAGGGTGTTATCTGCTCTGATAGCCACCCAGCAGCATATTTAAATCCATTCACTCCAAGTGGCTAGGGCCAACTCAAAAGGGGCAGAGCTAAGGTTATTTTGCAGGGGTGGCATGTACCTTAATACTTTGTTTCCTGCTCTTCAGAGATTGAAGTTTAGCCCCTGGAATGGCGGGAGGCTGTGCTGGGTGTCTGAACTCTGCATCAACAAAGGTTTTGGGTGGGAATGTGGACTAAGGGAATGATTTTTTAAGAGAGGGAGGTGCTCAGCAGTTCCTGTTGATAGTCCTGTTGGGTGCCTAACACCCCTAGCTACCTTTGAAAATCCAACCCTAACATGTACAGGATGAGTTAAGTTGGCCAGAAAATGGATGAGAAAAAAATCTTGAACTATTGTTGAATAAATACATAAATAATAAACAAACAAATAAATAATGTGTCTTCTGGGGGAATTTTCAAAAGTGTGTTAGGGAGTTAGGAGCCCTGACTTTCAAATCAACTTATTTCCCTAATTCCCTTTGGTGCTTTTGAAATTCTCACCCTTCCCTCAATAATTTTTGCAATTAAAATTTTCTAAGAAGTTCTATTCAGTATTCATATTTTATTTTCACAGAAAATATCAGCTTTCCTATCCATCCACTCACCCACCCATCCAGCCCCTTACCACAGCCAGGTGGAAAATAAGAATTGAATTTTATGAAAATGTTCAGTGTTTCAAAATTTGGTTTCAGGTTGCAATTTTCAAACCTTCCTGGCAAAAGTTTAGTCAAAACTAGTGTTTAATTTAATTTTTTTTGAAGAATCATCATTTACAAATGAAAAAAAACATTTTATCAAAAAATTCTGGACTGGGTCCAGCCCATTATCTATCCAGCTTAAATTGCTTGTCGCTGCGGCACAAGAAGCTAGGACACTGACACACACACACGAGTAACTCCTTTCACATGCTCTCAACACACTTACTCGCATGAGGAAAGTGAGTCATGGGCATTGGTTTTGTAGCACCAGAGCACAAAAGATGACTGCTGAGGCTCAGTCGGATGTGTCAGACCAGGCAAGCAAGTGACCAACACAGCTTTAGCTTGACCGAGGCTGATAATGTGCAAGGAAAGTTACACTGCCCATGCCCTGTAGGGTCTCTTGACCTGGTCTTCTGAGACAGCCAAAATCCTAGACACATATGTGTTCGGTTTCCTTGGTCTAAAGGGGGGGAAGAGATTGGTGAAATAAATTAGAGGGTTTTACCCGCTTCAGGAGCGAAGATGAAAGAGGAGTGAGTCCACGCTCCCACTAAGAGACGCTCTCCGGCCCTCTCTGTGCTTGTCGCCTTCCTGCTTTTGCATCTTTTGGAAAACACTCGAACGTCCTCAGCTGAAGAACTTTCTCGTCAGTCTGTCTGTACTGGCCTATATGCACTTGTTGCAGTGATCTCTCACTGAGTGACAGGGCAGAGGCATTGGGGACATGGTTCCTAACCCATTCTCCAAAAGGCATTGTTAGCAGTTTTAGAAACGGGCTCGGGGTGCCACCAGGGAACTTGGTCTCATTAGCTGCATCCAAGCAGCCTCAACACTAGTTCTAGTCACTTTAAAGTTACAGGGGCTGCATTCAGAAGTGAGAGGAATCTGCCCACCACAACCAGCACTGACCGGGACGCTCCAGTGACAGGGTTGTGGGTCTGAAACTTGAAGGCTCAGGCACTGTGTCGGAGGCACGTAGTGGTTCTTATAGTTATACGTGATGGGAAGCCTCCTGGGGCAGGTCCATGGGGCAGCAGCGGTGTGGGTCACAGTCACTGTGTTCACACTGGCATGGAGAGTTTGTGGTCCTGGCCCAATAAGACAGTAAATAGGTGGCTAAACCTTGGCATGGGAATCGTCCCACTGACTTCTATGAGACCAGTCACATGCTTAGCGTAGGCCCATGCTTAGAGTCTGTAGTGAATCCTGGTCTATAGTCTTTCTTTTGTTCTTAGAAATAAAACTAAGATTTTGTCATGGTGATTTTTAGTAAAAGTCATGGGCAACAAAAAATAATGGGAGCCGTGACCTGTCTGTGACTTTACTAAAAATAACCAGGGGGCAGCGTTAGGTAGGGGGGAGGAATCACAGCTGAAGTCCCATGGAACCTACAGGCCTGGACCCTGTAAGACAAGGTTAGTCAATTATTTTTTGTCAAGGTCCAAATTTCTTGGTCAAGATCCAAACTCTAGAGAAACATTTTTCACACCGTAATAACAATCATGATAATAATAAGGAAATAAAAAGCTGAAACCGAAGAAGTCATGGAGGTCCGGTAAAGTCACGGAATAGGTGACCTCTGTGACTAAATTGTAGCCTTACTTAGAAATATATGGATTGAATGTACATGCTCTGTTCTCTGTGTAGGAAAAAATAATGGAGCTCCTAATTCCACAGCTGTCCTTACCTCTGTATTGGGAGAAAGCAAAACTCTAGTTCAGAGCCCCTCAGCATTTGCAGAGAATGCTCAAAGTCCACATTACATGGTTTTGGCTCACCCTTGGAATAGTTTGGAGTATTTTTTTGTTTGTTTTGCCATGGAAACTTTTGACAAAAATATTTTTTCCATAGAATTTTTCAGCAGAACATGTTGGCTTTTTGTCAATCCCCATCCATTCCCGCCCCCCCCCCAAAACTGACCTTGAGAACAAAAATTATTTCCATTTCCTGTTGAAACCCCCCCCAAGGCAGATTGGAAAAATCTCAGCCTCATTTCTCAGGGCTTGTGTAGACAGTTTGCAGCAAGCCAGGGTGTAAATCTACCTTTTCACTAGTGTGATACACATGGAGTGTCCATGTAGACTCTGGTGCCGTGCACTAACATTTCCTAGTGTGCATTAATCTACTCTTGTTTCAAAGCGTGGTGAACCAGTGAATAAAAATGCATCAAGGAGTTTGGTTCATTCATAGAATCACAGAATCATAGACTATCAGGGTTGGAAGAGACCTCAGGAGGTCATC